TATGTGGAGGCCAGAGAATGATCTCAAATGTCATTCCTCCTTTTTATTTGTGGAGACGGGAGCTCACTGTCAGGCCGGCCTGCCTGGTGCTTACCCCTCCCCAGCACCGGGCCAACAAGCGGCCGGGTTAACGGCTGGATTAACAAGCGGCTGCCACCACACCAGGCCTTTCTTTCGTATGTGGGTTCAGAGGATCGAACCCTTCATGCTTTTACAAGGCAAGCCCTTTCCTGACTGAGCCGTCTTCCACACAGCCCCGCTTGCCCTGTTTTCTAGTTTCCTGATCCCTGTGCTCATCTTTATTGTTCTTTTTGCTTGAGTTTTCTCCGCTCATCAGAGTCAATTTCTGGAGTTAAAGGCTGAACACATTTTATGGTATCTGTGGTAAATGTTTGTCAGCCCATGCTGGTTTCTATGAAATTTGGCATTTGGGCTATGCATTTTTCAGGAATTTTGTATTTTTCCTCATACTCTATCTAAAGTGTGAAACCTTATCAAATTTATTTTCGATTCAGTTAACATTGTTATACCAAAAAATCTTATGCCAACTTTGGATTTTATTGACACTTCCTCTGTGGACTGGTAGTTGGTTTTCCTTTAATTTCCATGGCATGATCAAAAAGAATATGCCCGGTGGGTACAAATATCCTCTGTGAGCCCAGCTAAATACTGACACTTCCAACTTCAAGATTTTTCTTCAGCTTTGACCTGTCTGACCTATCAGTGTATGCAGATTTCAAACAGATTTGATGTTTTTCCTGTGATAATGTCAATCATCTATATACCCACAGCTGCGATTGTCTAGAATCTATATAATGGTGGATGCTTTTGTATCTCATATTTTGATACATTTGTATTTGCTCAGGATCCTTACACATGCTGATCAACTTGCTTAAGCCATAATCCCTGGTGACAGCATTTTTTATGATCACATTTCCTTTTTTAAAAATATTTCCTTTTTTTTATTTTTCTCTTTTCCTGTCTGAATTTCCTTCTTTTGGCTCATGTTACAAATTTAAATTTTCTGTTAACTTTATCAGGTTTTTTTTTTTTATGTGTATAAATGTTTTACCCACACGTATGTCTGTGTATCATGTGTATGCCTGGTGCCTGATGAGATCAGGAGTCCATGCCTTGGAACTGGAATTACAGACAGCTGTGAGCTGAAATGTGGATGCTAGGAACCAAATTCGGGTCCTCTGGAAGAACAGCAAGTGTTCTTAACTGCTGAGCTGTCTCTCTTTCCAGCTCTTTAAAATGTCAGGTCTCCAGTTCTGTGACCCTCAACTTTAAGCGGTGTTAGCATGCTCTCACATCCCTCTGGGCTCTCTGTTTCACCCCACCACTATCACTAAAGCATGTATCCTTCTGTGGCTTGACCCCTGAAGTCCTGGGGCCACGACAATGTTCAAAGGTTCCAGAACAATCCCTCAGATTCCTCATAAAGTTTCAGGGTTCTTCAGAGATGTCCCTACAGCTAATGTGGACATGTTTAGCTACATGAATGCTGGTCACTGTGAATACCGCATATATATCAGCAGACACAAGCATGTCTCTGCTTGTAGCTCTACCTTTAAAAATTAGATGTATATACTTTTTATATACATGAGTTAACAGACATTAAAAATCTGGTTACTAAGGCTGGGCATGGTGGCACATGCCTTTAATCCCAGCACTTGGGAGGCAGAGGCAGGAGGATCTCTGAGTTCAAGGCCAGCCTGGTCTACAGAATGAGTCCCAGGATAGGCTACAAAGCTACACAGAGAAACCCTGTCTCAAAAAGCAAAAAATAAAACAAAGTCTGGTTGCTAGCCAGGTGGTGGCGGCGCACGACTTTAATCCCAGCACTTGGGAGGTAGAGGCAGGTGGATCTCTGTGAGTTCAAGGCTAACCTGGTCTACAAAGCAAGTTTCCAGACAGCCAGAACTGTAACACAAACCCTGTCTTGAAAAACAAAAACAAAAACGAAAAAACAATCGGCTTGCTTGTAAAAAGAAAAACAATAGGGGGAAGTAAATGACTGTGTATTAGTATAAACACATGTATTTATATGTGTGTATGCATACATGCAATTGTGCAGACAGAGGCTAACACACATTTGGAAAACGTTAACATCTGGGGGTCTGAATCGGGTATACAGGAATTCTTTGTTCTGTTCTTTCTGCTTTTCTATCAGCCTGAAGTTACTTCAAAATTAAAACTTGAAGACTTAATGGGAATCAATCAACCCAGCACAGGAACTAGCTTTGGGGGGGGTGGGGCACAGTTGTGGCAGTTTGTCTCAGAAGGAATAATGAGATACTCAGACAGAAAAGCAGAGCCTCTGGTGCGAGCATGCGGGTGGCCTTTATGCTGGGCCCATTTGAACACCAAGGACTAAAGAGAGCAAAGTGCAGAGGCCGCCTTCAGGAAGCAGCCCTCCCTGATGCAAAGAAGAGCTTCCTGACAGCATATGTCAGCCAATGACAGTCCCCTGGATAGATGAATTGAAGAAGTCACTCTTCCTTAAGGCCCCGTGAGATTCTCGCTCCCAGCCAGATGATCAACCGAGGCTGACAGCATGAGAAGTGTGACAGATGGGGCATCCCCAAGGTAAGCCCACACAGACAAGCTTCTCATCGCAAGGAGGAGAATGTAACCGAGAAGGGGATTAGACTGTAATCATGCTGGCCACGTGGTCAGCTTTAGTGTCTATGACAGTGGGCCACAGAGACATGCAATGTCTTTGGGTGTGATTGAATAAAGGACACATTATCACTTAAATGTATGATTACCCAAAGGTCATGCAAACCTGTCTGGGCTTTAGGTATGCCTCCCAAATTCCAGAAATACAGGAAAGGGATAAAAGATCAGTGTGACCTTATGGAAGCTGCTACATGTTGCTAGAGGGTACACATCTTATAGGACAACCTGCTTTAGTCTGTTTTCTGCTGCTCTAACAGAATACCCAAGATTAGGTCATTTTTAAAGAAATGTATTCGGCTCACAGTTCTGGACGTTAAGGAGCACTGCAATGTGCAGGTACTTGCTCGGCCTCTGGTGAGGGCCTCCTACCGTAAGATATTACAGTAAAAGAGCAGAATGGGATACAGATGCATGGTCATCAGAAACACAAAGGAGAACGCAACCTGTTTGCTAACAACCTACCTTTGGGACAACTAACTAGTGCAACACTTAACTCACTCCCATGAGACCCAACCAGACTTGAGAGAATACACTCAGTTTCTAAAGAAAGGCATTAGTCCCACCACGAGAGCCTCTCACGATCCAGTCACCTCCCACTAAGCTCCACCTGTTGAAGGTCCCACCGCCTCTCAATTCTGGTTATACCGGGGACCGACTTGTCATCACATGAACCTCTGGGACAAACAGTATCTGTAATGGCTGGTCTTGATAGTCAACTTCATGGGATTTGGATCTACCTAGGAGACACACCTCTGGGCATGGCCATGAGGACATTTCCAGAGAGGTGTGACTGGGGAAAGATCCATCCTGAAATGGGATGGTGCCATCCCACTGCCTGCGTATGTGTGCCCCAGACTGAGGAAAAAGGAGGAAAAAGAGAAAATGATTCAAGCCACCAAGCCTCCCCCACGATGACGGACCATACCCTCAAACTCTGAGTCAAAGTAACCCCCTTATTTTTGTAAGGTATTTTGTCACAGCATGAGGAAAGGGACTAATACAATGTCCAGGCCACATCCAACTGGTACCATACATTACCTTCCCTGGGGATGAGGAATACTTAAGAACACAACAGTTAGAAGCCCGATGTCACCACAAACACGATTGGGCTTTGGCCTAAAGGACAAAGTATGCTCTCAGTGACGAACTTTTGAAGACAAGCTCAGCTGGCACTGGCTCACAGCCATCTCGCAGGCTCCCGTGATGTTTCTGTTGGAAGGGGTTCTCCCTGGATTCTCAGAGGTCTTTATAAACAAGAGAGTGAGGAATGAGGCTAGTGAACACTCTGGGCCTTGGAAAGGAGCAAGTGAGACTGCTGCTCACTTCTTTATGCCTGGGGGGTATGTGTGCGGCCTCTCCCCACTCCCCTCAGTGATGGGGATGAAGGTGAAATTACCCTGAATTTCCCGTCTAACTCCAAGATCCCAAGACAGAGAACTGAAGCAGGAAACGCTCTGTCACAATGATCCCTGGGTTTTTAAACCATGGAGGAGCGTGCAGTTCAAGGCTTTGCGGCATAGCATGGGACCAGTTCCCACTGGTTGTAACAGAGTATTCCTTTTACATCATGGTGACATTTAGCTGCAAGGGATGTGACTCACCACCCTGCCACCCCATTACTGATGTTGCTGCTGACTGGTGATTCAAAATGACAACAACAAAAAGATACCAAACCGCTACCTTGTTGTCAAAGGTAACCTTCTGCTTAAATTCACAGGAGCAGACACTCCTCAGAACGGTGCTGAGTAGCTGACCACACACTACTTTTACATACAAGTACTCCTACTACAAAAACCAAAACCCCATCAAACTATCTACACAGACCACCTCAGCTAATAAACGACGCTGGAGCTGTCTATATTGAGAGATGGTAGGCCAGGAGAATTTCCCGATCTGGACCTTAACACCAAGGCCGGTGCTGACTATCCTCACTGGTTCTGGTTCTGACAGAGAAAGAGAGCGAGCCTCGGGAGGCCTGCTGCTCCTGTGGTTTGAAGTTTCAAGTGTCCTCAGTGTTTGGAAACAGGTGAGTGACGGGCTCATCCCGTGCACAAAATTACAAGCACGCAGGCACAGTTAAGGCGTTAAGACATAAACAGAGACAGCTTGGCAGGTTCTCCCGGTTACATCTTGTGAGAAGAAACCTTCACCAATATTCTGAGCATATTATACAATTTTTAAACTTACTGCCATTGTTTTGAAAACAGATACAGGGATTTGCAGAAGCCTTTCCGTGAGAACTAACAGAGCAGTAGTCTTACTTTGGATGTGAAAACACTTGCGGATGTCTGAAATCACGACACTTCAACATCTACTTGTGTTAAGTTTGTAATCAAAATGGTGATGTGGAAAGATACAGTCAACTGTCACTTTTAAACACACAGGAACTGGACATGCTGTACATTTCTCTTTTAAAATGTAGCTTGTATTACTTTCCACCAATCAAAACACACATAATATATTTTATTATAAAACATTAGGCAATGTTACTTTTGAGATATGCAATTTGAAAGGTCACACCTGTATTAACTACCAGCATGAGACACCGGAGAGTCACATCAGAAACTAACCAGACAAACTCATACACCACTGTTATGACTCACACATCACTCGGCCCAGATGACACCAGTGTTGTGTTTTTGTTTTAGATGCAGACCCTGGCTGCCAGCAAGGGCCTATGGAGGGCTTTCTCCTTCTAACACAAGGGCTCTGGGCTTTGTGTTCTAAAGAGGAGAGCACAGCCTGGCTCCAACTGCAGGCCCAAAGCTGCGAGGCACTATGCAGCCTGTGTTCTGAGGCCGCTCTCCTCCCCTGGCTGGACATGTCTGCCCTCCAGACCTGTGCTTGAAAGGGACAGACCTGCAAGGGCAGTCATTCCACCTTTGGCTGAAAACTAAGCCAACAATAACAACAACAACAAAAACTAACCTAGTGCAAATTCCAGATAATCATCAATTACCTGGTTTATAAAAATACATGTCCAAAATAGTGACTTCCAGGGTGTGTACAATATAAATTACAAAAATAAAATAGAAAAGATGAAAAAGTTGAGCACATTTCTCAGTTCTTCATCCACCTTCGGCGTTCGCCTGCAGAGGTCAGTTCGAAACCATTTGCATTGTCCCAGGACCCTGGCGAATCTAGGCTCAGGAGGGAGGACCCTGAAACTGGGGTGAGGTATTTCTTTGGAGCTCTGTGGCCAGTCATAGGTGCACTTGCCTGATGGAAGAGGGTCTTTGCATGAGACCCTGTCCACAGCAGCACAGGCTCCATCCACAACAGGCTCATTGGATACGCAGAGTAAGGGGAGAGCAGAAAGCTGCTCCACTTATGGGTGTCTCCCGTCAGTGGGACCCTGGACAAATCTCTATCATAGCATGCTCCCTTTACAGTGGAGGCAGAGAGTGAAGCTTAAAAGCTCACTTTCTATACTTCCTCTCTTCAAGACAGTCTTAGTGAAGTCTTTGAAAAGAATGTGCCTCAGAGAGAAGGCTGTAACTGTAAGATGTTTACATATGTAGAGTGGTAACATTCATACCTGTGACTTCTGGCTTCCAGGGTCTAAATAACCTGAAGCCATAAACAGGTGTTTCTGCCTCCGCCCACACTGGCATTTCCACTTTGTACCTAGAAGTGTCCATACATGATAGAAAGCTAGTCCTTACTTCAAGATGAATTTTGTTCACTGAAGGTTCCAGTGATCAGACCCACCATTAGGACACAAGTGGTGCAGACAGAGTCCTGTATCAGATGTACTTTTCATAAAAGTTCTTATCAAATTTCCTCCCAGAACACACTCCATAGCTCCCAAAGCAACTGAACACAAGATATGAATTGTTAACAAAATAAGCTCGAGGAAGAAAACACTCTGAGCACAGGTAGCCAAGGTATGACCATCCCAACTCCATTTCTGCAGCACAGAACACTCAGCATCTTACTACATCCTGAGTAATTTACAGACCAGGATCTGAAAGTATCGATTTCAGGTGAGCAGTTTTAAATCAGAAAATATTCAAGAGTGGCTACTTTCTAGGGTATTTCTTCTTATTCTCCTGAAGAATGTTTCCAGAACATTCATGGATTTCCCTTAGGAAAAGGAAATGCCTCCACAAAATGGAAAATGGCAGCAGCAAACAGGCATTGTGAGTGAGCCTGGTCTCCTAAGAGACCACGTGCTCTTGCTGGACGTGGCTTCTGTCAGTGAGAAAGAAAGTTTAGGAGGTAATGCTACAGAAGGAAAGGCTGTGAGACCCAATCACCTTTCACCTTGAATAAAGAGAGGGCAGCAAAGAATGGGCGGGCTCTGCGGAGGGAAACACTGCTCATTGGCTGTTCTGGAGAGGCCACTGTCAGCTCTAGGCCAACACCAGGCAGTGGGTTCAGGAATCTCTGCCGCCAACATTCTGTTGAGATGGGTGCTTTGTGATATGCAGGATTCTAAATCCATGTCCAGAGGACCAAGAAAAAGGAGATGCGTGGGCAAGATTCAAGGTGACGTATGTCTTAAGCAGCACGAAATACAACTGGAAATTTTGTCATGCAGAAAAGCTGTATGTAAAGTTATCCCACAGTGGGTAGTTTAAAGGACACAGAGTGTCTATATAAAGAACTTGGTTTTAGCAGCGGTAATTCTCAGCCCAAAACATCACAAATTTAAGAAAAGCTGTATTTTTATTTATTAAATAAATTTAATTATATTCCTTCTGAAATACAAAAGATAGAATAAATCATACCATAAAAGTGGGTAAGATATGATAATATGACGGTGGCCAATTAATACACATAAATCTATTTTTTTTTGTGGACAGACACCAAATTACTAAAGAGGATTAAGAGATTATTCTAGAAGCAGAACTACCTGGAAGATTATTTGGCATTAAATACTGATTCCCAAAGTGCTACATGGGCAAGTTCAAGCAAGCATTTGTGGTCACATGCATACGAGTTCCCACGGTTACACATGAGCTGTCACCACGGACACCACACAACTTGGAAAAGAAACTCATCTATTCTAATTGCTCACCTGAAATGACCTTGAACAAAATGTCTAACGGTGTGGTTTGTACTTTTTCTCCAGACACAGTCTGCCTCATTTTATAGTCTAAGCAGGCAATCCTATTGGAACTGAGCAGGGGCAAGGCATCGTGTTTCTTACATGCAGAACATGGAGTTTTCAGTTTGGTGCCATCAACTCCCATGTGCTTCGGGGCCATGGAAGCGAGAGTTCCTTCACAGACAAGCGCACTGTCTCCAACAGATCATCGGCAGCCTTCAAGGGGTCCTGTGGAGGCGTCGAGACTGCTGTCCGTGTCTGAGGCCAGCGTGTGCTCAGTGGACATGGACGAGATGTCGTTGATGGATGACGACTGCGAAGGCGTGGACTGCGAAGGGGCGGTCTTGCTGCTTACTGCTGCATCTGTGCTAAGAGAACCACACGGAATAAAACCGAGGCGCAGCGTCCATCCCGCACAGCGTCATCCCACACAGCATCATCCCACACAGCAGGCATGGGGCTCCAGGCCACTTCCTGACTCTGTGCTGTGCAGTTTCCTGATCCTAATGATCAAGAAACCAAGAGCTAAGAAACCGGTCAACTATACTTTTGAGCTTCTGGGATTTTTCCTTGGGTCCTTCTTTGGTTCAGTTTCCAAACAGTCTTGACTCTCCCTACAATATTCTCTTTTTCTTTCCTGTGGCAATGTGTATGTGGTCACATATGATTATGTTGATTACTTAAAAGATATACCCGCTAACTTCAAGCATACCTTACAAAGAAATGGATGAATTTATCCTACAATTACCACAGGAAGCTTAAACCTGAGTGGGATTTAAATGTCATGGGACATTTCATTTACAACAGACATACCAACCACATCTACAGGAAAAAAGCATCATGATTCAAATAAATCTTTTGTGATAAAAATGCTTTCTGAAATATATACCCAAAAAAAAGGTCAGTGCCTGCCATGAATTTTATTTTTGTTTAATGAGTTTAAAAACTGTTTTTTTAATTTCAAAGATAAATAAAGCTATCCTATTTCCTACTACCCATGTGTTAGTGTGGCCTGAACAAAAATAAAACTTGCAGGATCTTAGGTCTGCACAAACGCCCTCCTTTTTCTGAACTGGACGGGATCAGTGCAAAGAGGGCCACAGATTTTCAAGTCTGCAAATCCAGTCTCTTCCTCTCTAAACAGCAGACAGCATGTGCTGCGAGTCCCAACGGGAATGTTTCAAAGGCAGTCAGTTAGGGCCTGCCTCCTCAACAAAGTGACTGCATCAGGGGCTGTGTCACACCACGGTGGCCCAAGTGGCATTAACGCATCGTTGCCGTTTATAAACATGGAGTAGACAAAACATTAGCCAACGAAAGCAAAGCAATCACCAACCTGAAGGCTGGTCCTTTACACCATTCTTGCTTCTTTCTTCCCAGTCCATCACTTCTTTGTAAATTAGTTCTTCAAAGAGAAACAGAAGTTACCATGCTGTGCTTCCCCTGCACCTGAACTCTGCCTCCACACCGCTGGAGCCATCCCGGGGCACCAGGATTCCTCAACTTCCTTTGGCTACCACGTAAGTTATTAGGGGGTCACATCAGCATACCGCAAGCATACACTGTGAACATTGCCACGATGAGTATGTACATGTGTGGGCCACTGGCATGCCAGTCTGGAAAGGCCCTGATCAATGTTGGCCTGTACTGACTGTGGCCTTAGTTCCTAATGACACTGCTTCTGGATGAAAACTTTGAAGTCTGGTTTCTTTGTTAACCAGCTTAGTTCACTGAGGCTGTGGGGCTCATCTTAAAGTGCTAGTGATATCTTCTTGCCTTTTTTGGCAATTTCCTTCAAACTAGATTTAAAATATAAAACTATATGCCTTAATAGACAAAGACATGTCCCTCAGCTGGGCTCCCCCACACCTGCTTAGACAGGCATCTCTGTAGGGAGTATGGCCTGTCCATTGGGTTCGCTCCATGAACTCCCATGCTATCAAGATGAGGCTAACACACTTACTGACTTCACAGCCACACGTCAGTATGTGATCATGGAAAGTCCTTGTGTTTCACCTGACACAAACTAAGATATCACACATGTTCTACTCTAACACTGCTAGAGTCACACTCTTCCTCAGCTGGGAAGTGGAGAGAGAAGACATTGGGGCTTCTGGGTCTCAAGGTCCTTCCCAAGAGGCTAGTATCAAATTTAAGTAAAAGCAGGTTCTGTAGGACTATGAGAATGTCATAAGTAAGGATCAAAATACGCTGCTTTACCTTTCCACTCTTCAATTGCATGCTCTCTTTCTTCCAGCTGCGCATCATAAATTTGAGGTGGTGGCTGAAAATTAAATGACATGTCAGGTCAACAGCTCAAAACTGATGGGGCATGATGGACAGATAACACTACTTAGAATGTTTTAATATGTAGATATTAATGTACTTAATATGTAGATAACATCTACTTATGAGATGGATTTAGCTTAATTAACATGTGAAATTTTTCTTGTAAGCATAATATATTTTATCAGTTTAGTTAACCAAAGGCAAGCTATAAATAATAAACCTCAATAATCATATGACCTCAAAATGCTCTGCAAACATAGCCTAAAGAAAATTACAAAATTAATAACCATAGGCAGCTTGAGGTTCCCCGGGACAAGGCTGTGTGGGAGCAGAGTGAGGTGTGGTACTTTCTCAGAACACACTTTAGTTTACAATTCTTTATGACAGGACACCCATGCCCAAGCCACAGCTCACAAATGGAACATTCCACAACTGGCTGTTTATAAATCCAGCAGTGAAGTCTATACCCAGGACACAGCAGTGTGTTCCACAGCTGGCACGAAGTAAATGCCCCGCAGTGTTATGATTTTACTCCTAGCTAAAGCTCATTCACACAAGTGACGCCGTGAAAATCAGATGGGAGGAAGAGATGCCTCGATGCAGGGGGGAGGCGTGAGCTAGTGCGTCACTTGGGAAGCGACTCAGCCTCTCTGATCTGAAGATCTGAATAAGATATACACAAAGCCCATGGCCTAGTACCAGGCATGAAGCAGACGTCTCATGCGTTATTATTGCATGTCAGCTTTGCAGAGGCCATCTAGACCTCCACGACACACTCTGGTACACTCCTGAGTGCTCAACTCTGTAGCCCCAGCCCCAGCAAGTGCCCCGGGTACTGACCTAGCCTTCAGATAGTACTTCTTCTATTCCTGAAGTGAGGGCCCTAAAATCAACAACACGCTATCCTCGTGTGGCCATTTTGGACTAACAGAGAGAAAATCCAAGACAGTGGGCCCTGGCTATAAAAGTGAGCCCTCTACATAGACATCTTGTCCAGACAGACACTTACCGCTTCTGCTTCAGCAGGGTCATACCAAACAGTAATATACGGGTGACGCAAGGCTTCGTCCACAGAGATCCGCTTGTCAGGATCAATCACTAACATTTTCGATAACAGATCTCTGGCTTGACTTGCTAGGGTGCAAACAAATGGCGTACTTACATTGCTACCGTGGAAAAGAGGAAACCACACAATAAAGAACCAACTGTGAGAGTGGAGGGTACAGAGACACGCTGACTGCAGGAAATGTTTAAGGGGTTCCAGATCAACACAGCTCACAGCCTTTAAAAATCCAATGGCCACTGTTAAAGACCAGGCTTTGAGCGTGTGAGATGAAGGCACTGGGGGGCAGCCTCAGAGCAGGGTCCAGATGACCTGAAGCTACGAGGTCACAGCAGAGAAGATGGCAAGCACCTCTCAGGGTGGTGCTGCCAGGGGTGTGGACATGGAGTGCCAAGAGGATTCTTCTTTTGTGTCACAGTAGAACAATGTAAAAACCTTCACAGTACCCACAGTCCCAGAGCACAGCTTGCTTCACAGGTTTCTCTGCTTTGCCTAACTGT